TTATGACAAAATTATGTGAATGAAAGGAGCTATAAGTGTTTTTCTAATTTAGGTTGCTCCCGCGCAACCTGGGAGCGCCCTCAGATTGTGCGGAACCAAACAAAGTCATAATGTCTCCCTTCTTTAGATAATTTTTCAAAATTTTTCACATAAGTCTATTTTTCACTTCGAACTCCAACTACGTACCCTCAGATAATCGCCGGAGGCAGGCGGCCATGCGATTTTTGGGCAAGCGCGTACCGGAAAAATAGTTCGCTGATTTCTTGCGGTCCGCTTGCAGATATTTGGAAGAATTTTAGCGGAATATTAGACGAATGCTTGGAGAACAATCGCGGTTTCCTTACAGATTAGCTGCGGCGCAGTGGCCGCATGCTCGCGGATATTCCGCGAGAATATGCAAAATTTTCGGTGGCCGCACGGTCCTTTGTGGAGGACCGCGCAGCACCCAGGTACTTTCCGCTGAGAAAAAGTACCTCAAACTTGAGTAATTAAGCCAACGGTGACACCTCTGCCACACAGAGTCTCACCTTTGCTCGGCGTACGAACAAAACTGCATTAAAAGAGTCGGAGCGCCAGCTAAAAATTTGACCAGCGCTCGCTGAAAGAGATTATTTGACGAGCGCCTGCAGAAAATTCCGAGTTGCTGCCCGCTGGCAGAACATCAGACAGTAAAGGAAGTGCCGCCCGGTGAAGGTTTGGCCATGCCCCAAAATTCTGCTGACCGCCTGCAGAAAAGCGCGGGTTTGCGGTCCGCCTGCCGCCGGCGATTGTCTGAGCCTGTGTTAGCCAACGTCTCTTGTGCTTTGCTAGGGACCTTGACTGATATAAAAATCGCCTTTTTTTTCACGTGTTGCTGTTTTATCTCCAATTTCCCCGTCTATCCTCAACTTCCAATCGCTCATCGTTCGCTGCAGGTTGTTAGTCATACTTCTACAAATACCACAAAAATTTCGTAATCTTTTGCAATGTCAAAGGGGATTTATCGTTCTCTCCACAGATCGTGCTATCCTTGGTCTGCGTCTCAGACCTGCCACGTGTGGCTAACATGTTGGCAACGTGGCAACAACATGTTTGCAACATGCCCCAGCATGTTGGCAGAACATTTTGGCCACGCCAACATGTTGCTGCATGTTGCCAACGTGTTGCTGCCAACGTTGCCAATGTGTTAGTCACACGTGGCACGTCCGCGACGCCACAAGGGTAGCACGATCTGTGGAGGGGACGATACTTTCAAAAATTCTCAAATGCCACCTTCTGCTGGAGCCTGTTTGGAAGCTACTTCGTTCATAGTCGACCATCAAGAGCACTGTAACTCAATTACATATCTTCTATTGCGAAGCGCGAACCCAGTGAACCGTACGCATACATTGCAGAAGGGAAAGCTAGGTTGGCACAAAAGTGGACTGATGTGCACTTCACTAATGCTAAGTTACACGTTGAGAGTAGGATGGTTCATTGATCTAACGACAGAAGGCAGTATAGGAATATAAACAATATAAATCTACTGGATCCTGGTAGGTTGCAAAGTTGACGATGACGACGGGGCAAACAGCAGCCCAGGGAAATCAACGAAGAGGCGCTGCCGGTCGGTGACCGGACATTGGAGTTTCTCCTCGCGCCCTGCGCGTATCGGCCATGCCCTAAAAAGCATGGCTCAGTACCGAACTCAATAGGGCTGCTTGTGCTCACATCTGATCCACTATATCAATGAACGCCAAAGAGATCTCACAACTCCGCAGTGATTTCAGAATTAGCGAACCCGAGCTTAGGATGTGGTTAACCGTTTGTGAGATTCGTGCGGCCGGTGAGGGTGCGCATTGACTTTCACGACAATCAGAGCCGATTATCTACCTCATTGAAGGAAGATCAGGGCTGATTATCTGGACGAGTAATGTAAGGTCATAAACGGCTCCGATTTTGGTGGCTAGATCGTATCTCGAACTGTCCAAAGCTCAAGAAAAATCAGCAGCTACAATTTCCATGGTCTAAGAGTAGCAAATTTACTGTGCAACAGTTTGCAGCTGACGTTTCGTATACCATAAACGGATTTATGGAAAAGAACAAAGATGCAGTGAGCAAACAACTATTGGAGCTGGTGGCTACCACCAAGTTCCCCCTTCTGCGAGAAGTTATGGTCTCATATGTCGCTGGAGAGGAGATTTCTGGCAGAAAAGTTGGAAAAACCGTGGCTGGCCACTTCCGTGAATGTCTTCGGGATTTGATGGCAGTTATGGGAACGACTAGACCCCACTATGTGTGATGTATCAAACCAAATGATGAAAAAGAAAGGTTTTACTTTGAGCCCAAACGAGCCATTCAGCAATTGAGGGCTTGTGGTGTTCTGGAAACAGTGCGTATATCTGCGGCTGGTTTCCCTACTGGTGGACCTACGAAGAATTTGGTCGTCGATACCGTGTACTCTATCCGGAAGGAAAAGCAATGTGGCGCGATAAACCGCGACAGTTCGCTGAAAAAGCATGACTACCGTACTGACTACCGTGAGTACCAAACTTAATTGGGGTGCTTGTGCTCACACAAATTTGGCATTGTTGAAAAGAGCAGCTTACGAGGATTGTAAGAGGCAAACTTCCAGTTTTTTCTGCAGCGTCCCAGATTTCTGGCGATTTTGCGAAAATCGGATTTAGAATGGTTTTTCTAATCGAATTTTTGCTTCTGCGTTCTTGTCGTAGAGAACGCTGTAAATGTTGTTAAAATTTGAATAAATTTTTCGTTTTGATGAATGTTTTGTAAGCAAATACGTTCACGGGAACAGGTATGAATTTCTTAGAACTAATGCGACAGAACTTTCGGTTCAACATGCTTGCGCAGTCAATTCCAAATCTGTATTCCGACTTTTCGAGATGGGATTATCAGCATTTGCTCAGATAATCGCCGGGGGCAGGCGGTCCGCAAACTCGCGCTTTTCTGCAGGCGGTCAGCAGAATTTTGGGACGTGGCCAAACCTTCAGCGGGCGGCACTTCCTTTACGGTCGCATATTCTGCCGGCGGGCAGCAATACAGCATTTTTTGCAAGCGCTCGGCAAATAATTTCTTCCAGCGAGCGCTGGCCAAACTTTCAGCAAGCGCTCGGACTCTTTTGAGGCATTTTCGGGCGTACGTCGAGCACAGGTAAGACTCCGTGTGGCAGAGGTGTCACGCTGGTTTAATTACTCAAGTTTGAGGTACTTCCTCTCAGCGGAAAGTACCTGGGGGTTGCGCGGTCCTCCACAAAGGACCGTGCGGCCCTCGAAATTTTTGCATATTCTCGCGGAAAGTCCGCGTGCGGCTACTGCGCCGCAGCTAATCTATAAAGAAACCGCGATTGTTCTTCAAACATTCGTCTTAAATTTCGCCAACTTTCTTCCAAATTTCTGCAAGCGGACCGCAAAAAATCAACGAACTATTTTTCCGGTGCGCGCTTGCTCAAAATTCGCATGGCCGCATGCCCCCGGCGGTTATCTGAGTGCTCAGATAATCGCCGGGACAGGCGGTCAGCAAATTCGCGCTTTTCTGCAAGCGGTCAGCAAAATTTTGGAGAGTGGCCAAACCTTCAGCGAGCGGTATATCCGTCTTCTGCCAGCGGGCAGCAATACAACATTTTCTGCGAGCGCTCGTCAAACATTCTTTTTCAGCGAGCGCGGGCCAAACTTTCAGCAGGCGCTTTTACACAGTTTCGGGCGTACGGCTAGCAAAGATAACACCTTACATAATAGAAGTGTAATCCATGGTTCAATTACCCGATTATGGGGTACTTTCTTTCAGTCGAAGGTACTTACGGGCTGTGCGGTCGTTCACGAAGAACCGTCAATAATTTTGCATAATCTCACGGAAAGTCCGCGAGAATGCGGCCACTATGTCGCAACTAATCTATGAAAAAACCGCAATTGCTCTCCGAGCAGTCTGAAATTTCGCCAAAATTCTTCCAGATATCTGCAAACAAATAGCAAGAAATTAGCGAGCTATTTTTCCGGTGCCTGCCCGCCCATATATTGCATGGCCGCCTGCCCTCGATTATCTGAGTGGGCCTTTATGCCTCGATGTCTCACATCTACCTCTCGGTTTCTATATTCGTCGGAAACTCCACTGCGCTAGTACCTTTACTTCGAAAAAAAAGCCTTCATGCCTTCAAGGAAACCGCTTTTTTTCAAAGTTGTTACCCCAGATCACTTGAGTTGTCGTAAACAACTTGCGCTGGGGATCTACTATGGCAAGCATGCAAATCATGCTTGCCATAGTAGATCCCCAGCGCAAGTTGTGCCATAGTAGACCAAATGTATATGGGACGTACGACTTTTTGAACCCTGGCTCGCGAGCAGCTTCGTCAAAGATTCCGTCAAATTTCACTACTTTTACCACCAACATGCGTAGCATTGTCGTGTTAGATCCTCAGCACAACTTTACGATGTTTGTATCATAGGTGAGTTTCGGAAGAATAAATGACTTCGAGAGGATCGTAAATGACAATGAAAAGCTGAGCTTATAAAGCGCGCGCTGTCATACATTATGCTAAAGTGTTAGAGTTTTACATCATCTGGAAGTTTATAGAAAACAAAGATTGGAGGCTTTCAGAATACCGAGATATAAGGCATCTCCTTACCGCTCACCTCTCTTTCCGAGCATACAGCATGAGCAATACGTTTTCCTGCTCATAATAGCAGAATGACTCCTTCGTCCACTACAGTCAATTGAGTAGCAACGGAAACCCACGCATAAACTATCCATCCAGGCATTTGTTAGAAAAAGACCTTACACGAGGAAAAAACAGGATACTGTTGCGCAAACTCTCCATTATCACAGAGGCGATAATTATATCTCTTCATTCTCCCTACATGAAAGCAGTAGCATGTGGAAGTTCATTCATTCTGTTGCGGTATAAAGGTGCGGCTTGCTAGATTTCAATTGCAACACTTGTCCATTATGTACCAAACATAACCATAGACGCGCTCTTATATCCATCCACCCTGTGTTTTCCTAACTTGTCAGATTCTTCTAATTTTCAGATGGCAACCGACGTCGCCCATGCGAATGTGATTAGAGCACGTTATAAAGTAAGTTGTGCATTTGTGAAGAGAACAAGATTGATTTTATAGCAGTATAGAATCTTCTCCACGCTAGAAAATGACTGCCTATTATGGGGTCTTGAGTAAAGGCGTTTCTGTAGCTCCTAGACTGATACAATTTGAGAGACGGCTCTTTAACATGCGACAATATGGCAGCGAGCAAACAGTGCAGCTTGTTGCTTAACTCTTCGGTAAAACAGTGCCGTACGAGTACTTGCTCTTAAAATCTTCAGTTTGAAGTATTGTCGCACGAAAATGGCTGGGGCAGCGTTCATGCAAATCGCATGCTCATTATCAGGTGATTACAAGCAAGTTGTAAAAGTGAATCATCTGCGTTGGTCCGGTCTACTAAGTCAGGAACTCGCGCCGTCAGCGACGAGTTTACAAACGCTCATTGGTGTGTACGATTGTACGGTTGTCAAGGGCCGATCGTTCGGTTAACGAGGGGCGATTGCTACTGCTCGCTGCTTCCGCGGGAAAGGTCGGCCGCTCGCTGGCTGTTAGGGTAATTTGTTTGGGATATCTTGACCATTATTCTTTGAACCAGTGCGTCACCTCTGCTTTGCAGAGGCTCGCACTGGTTTTTCTATCTATATGCCACGCTCATTCTCGCATAACGTGGAATTGAAACTTACCGCACAATGCCCGGGTTCACGAATAAATTGTAAACAACTACTCATACTGAAAGCTTTTTCGTGTAAGATCGATATTTTGCGTGGATGAAGCTTTGGAAGGTGTTAGAAAAATGCAGATTTAAAACATTTTTGAGTTTTTTATGGCTCGATAGTGCTATAAGGATAATATTCTAAAAATATCCTATCTAAAAACCTTGGCAAATTGGCTATTTACGCAATCATTTGCTTTTGGCGCCGTTTTCGTGGAGTGACAGACTACTTTTTTCGGCTAAAGATGTTGGCTTGCATACTGAGCTGTTAAAGGTAACCATAATTCTGCAAAAAGTGGTATTACGGACCCGTTTTTGAGGACAAGAAGTCAAGTATGTCCGTTTAAGGACTCGGACAGACTTCACGCGATTTGATCGTCGCAACTCAATCGCCGATATTTCCATTCATTTTCATTTCACATTCAAGAATTTCGGGCTGGAAAAGTATCACAACCGAACTGCAAGTTGATCGGCATGGAATGATGTTGTAACAGTTGTCTCGTCGCGATTCAGTCGCGACGATCAAATCGCGTGGTCTGTCGGGGGCCTAAGGTCCTGGGCAGACTTCACGCGATTTGATCGTCGCGACGAGACAACTGTTACAACATCATTCCATGCCGATCAACTTGCATTCGGTTGTGATACTTTTCCAGCCCGACATTTTTGAATGTGAAATGAAAATGAATGGAAATATCGGCGATTGAGTCGCGACGATCAAATCGCGTGAAGTCTGTCCGGGGCCTAACGCGCACTTCTGGGGGGGGGGGGGAGGGGGTTTATTCAATGAATTGGCTCGTGCTTTTGAATGGTGAATCTAGATGTTGGCACTGTGTATTGTGCAGAAAATCGCGGCAGCATGAAACCTTGTCTGCTACTCGTTCTATGAATTTCGTTACAGACAGACAGACACACAAAAACGCGTAAACGTCCTTAGCTCATTAGTCATGATCATTATAGTCCTGTTCACGTCCTGAGTTTGGAAAGGTGGATCAATTCCTGCAGCATTAGTCGGACCTTTGAAGAGAGTAGACATTATCACCAGGGTCAAGCGTGGGGTGCGGCACGCCACACCGGGGGGGGGGTCGTGCTGAGGAGTCAAAAGGGGAGGGGGTCGTAGTTGGGAATCTGATATTAGTGATAACATGATATTTGTATCATATTCATAATTAGCATGTCAATTAACCCCTGTAGACAAAGTGTGAGCGAATTCTGAAAATCATGACTTATAATAACGGGCTAAGGATGTTTACGTGACTTTGTGTGTGTGTGTCTGTCTGTTACGAAATTCGTGGAGCGTGTTCCAGCCAACGTTCTAAGCCCAAACTTTGTATAGCGCATGCTACCTTCGTGAAAGTCCAACATGCAAAAGCACGAGTAGATTCGTTGAGTGGATCCCTCAGAATTTACGCGCCAAACGGGTCCACCTGGCTTCTGTACCGCAAAAGTCGGTCCGTATCACCACTTTTTGCAGAGTCGTGGATGAGTTTGGTAAGCAAATGTGCAAGCGATGGAGTTTAGCCAGAAAAGTGGTCGAAACTTTACTACATAACGAAAACGGCGCCATAACGAATTGGTTGTGTAAATGGTCAATTTGCCAAGGTTCTAGCTAAGCGTTTGAGAAGATTTTCGCACAGAGATGTAGCTCACGGTTATCGTTACCTTTATGGCGACTACCAAGTCATGACAAACCCAAAAACCTATTCAAATTTGCGTTTGTCTTTCTGCGAAAAGTTTCATCCACTCGAAATCACCGATCTCACGTGAAAAGATTTTCTAAATGAGTGGTTGTTTACATTTTATTCGTGGTAGTCGGCATAGTGCGGTGAGTTCCACTGCCACGATTTTACGAGAATGAATAAGGCACATAGATAGTAGAGCCAGTGCGAACCTCTGCGAAGCAGAGGTGACGCACTGGTTCAAGATACTAGACTACCTAAATGAAATGGTCAAATTCCAACATGGTTAACTTTGTTTCAAAGGTGAAATAGCTATCCATTTTTGCACTCAAGACAAAGCACTACTCCTTCTTTGTCCACCTCAGGAATCCCGCTTCAGAAGACCTGCAGACTGTGGAATTAGAAGCCAACCAAAATCTCGTTTTTCCCACTTTTCGCTTTTGATCGCTGTGCTTTCACCAAATATTACTCAGAGCTAAGAAGACGAATCAGGCTCCAAACAGTCCTATGGAATCTACAAGGTTTAGGCTATCGATTCATATAAATACTGTCCGCTAAAAATGTTTTTTTGATATAGTTAATGGGGTGCGGCACACCCCCTTAACTTGCCTTCAAAATCCAGAAAACGCTCCATTGCTGGTATGAGTATTGAGCACATAGCTTCTTCTTGCTACATTGAAAATTTGAAGCCGAACGCCCCATCCATAAGAAAATTATGGCCCTTTCAATATGCCTATTCAGATCAAAATCAGCCGTCAAATTACGTGTGATTGTAAAGTGCAGTCACAGAAAATCGGGCGTACAGCTCTCAAAAATCTGAAAACTCTCTAGAAAAAGATGGTGTCTTCCAGAATGTCACACTTTGAGGTCCAGAGGTTAAGAGGAGGAAGAAGGGGTCGTTTGAGGGCTTTCATGGGAGGGGGAGGGGTTTTCGAAAGACTTGTGCCTGACCTCTTTCTCAACTCTGGTAATGCTATCTTAGGTATAGAGTTCAGGGGGGGGGGGTCTTATTAAGACAGCAATCAGGGGGGGGGGGGGTCGTAACCAGCGATCGTGTGCCACACCCCCTGCTTAACCCTGATTATCACTCTTGGTCACTGGCTCATTTGACCTTGCTGGTCGAGGGAAAGATACGTCATATCAACGCTAAGGACAGCCCAAACACTGCATCGTATCTCACGTAGGTACCGTTCGCGTATAAGAATTTTGAGGAGAAGATGAAGGTCATATTAGCCGCCCACGGCAACGGGTATTCCCGACCGATCAGACGGAAACATTGCTGGTCCTCGCTTAGGCAAATGTATTGTCGGCCGATCGCACGGCAACATTGCCTGCCGCTTGGATGGCGCTTCAACTAATTGCCGCACGCTCAAAAGCTTTAGGTTTATGCCGACCACTTACACGCTAGTGCCTGTAGAAGATTGTCTGCGAGCGCGAATCTTCGAGAATAAGTCCTTAAATTAGACAATGACCTAGTGATCAGCTAAAATCCTAGATCCTCTCATTCTTCGACTTACAGCGCATCCAAAGATTGAACACTGGTGCTTTCTGGCATGGCAAGCATAGAAACGTATACTATGTAACTTTGTCCCTGTTGCTATCAAAGCCAAAGCCAAAGGCTAATCCTTTTTTGTTGCGACACTACGAAAATATGTCGTCGGGGTTTCCACATATTTTACAGCTCATACAAATATGGGCCATGAAAACCCATGTATGATACACTGCTGAAAACTCAATGATTCAATAACCTCAGACAATCAAAGGCTCTCAGCCGGCCCCACCAAAAGCGCCGCTGCCTTACCGCCGCCACTTTTCGCTTTCCGCTGAGAAACTTTGCCAGAACTGGCAGCAAGCGGGCTGCTATAAAGTCTTCAGCGCGAAGCGAAAGTGGAGGCGATAAGGCACGGCCGCCACCTTCGCTTCGCGCTGAAGACTTTATAGCAGCCCGCTTGCTGCCAGTTCTAGCAAAGTTTCCCAGCGGGAGGCGAAAAGTGGCGGCGATAAGGCAGCGGCGCTTTTGGTGGGGCCGGCTGAGAGCCTTTGATTGTCTGAGATACTTTACCGCTTACCATTGTTACTTTAACACTTTTGCCAAAGTTGCTATAGCCCTTAAAGGCAGCGTACACCCAAAATTTGAGTTACCGAATTTCCAAGATCTTTCTACACCGTGTATATACTGGGCCCAGAAGAAGACCAACTGCGTTGGTCCGGTCTCCCAATGTTGCTTCTGAGCGGAGAAAACCCCCCTCAATTTTCTTTCATGCCGCCCCTTTTCTTTCGCTCCGCCTCCTCCGGACGAATCCATAACAGCGTAAGCTGCAATCGCAGTTGCAGTTGCTGTTGCAACATCTATTGCATTTGTTTTGGGTGTACGCTGCCTTTAACGTTGTTACCAGCTGCAGAAACAGTGCTACCAGCGATAAGTATCGGATATTAGAATCAAAACGTCTCAATTTTGTTAGAAGAAATCATCTTTTTCTAAAACATTGGACCAGATGGGCGCAGCAAACATTCTCATGTCAAATAACATCCTAATCAGATTCCCAGAAGAAAGCTTTAGATTCTTTGATCTGCGATTGGCAATAATGTTCCGATTAACAAGGTAGAGGAACATGTTTTAATTAGGCGCCGCCTTCGCGAAAAGGTGG